CCACCATGTCCGCAACGTCCATGCTATCCGGATAGCCCCCGGTACCGGCTTCCATCCTCGTCATCACGCGATCTATCAAATGCTCCCCGGCCCTCTGGACAACCTCGAACAACTTCGTCTCCCACAGCATCTCGAGCTCTTCATAACCTAGGGAAAGTGTCTCTGGTTCTATCATTACGTTGTATATAGTCCACCGCATCTCCACCTCTATCTCATCCGCGTCGTTGGATGTAGGCTTTACTCTAGGCTCACTCGGCGGCGGTGAAATCGATGAAGGCTTGTGTCCAGGCCGGCCTAGTCTGCCTCCGTCAGCTCTCAACTCTGGCACGGTCCCCAATATTCCATTCATGCCCATCCACACCCGATAGAATTGCTCTACCCACTTCCTCATGCCTCCGACGTTGCTCTCAACGTTCAATATCCTGCTTCTCATCAAAGTTCCCAAAGCTATCCCGGTGTATGACGGTTCGGCGCCAGGCCTCGTTCCCGACAGCACCTGCGAGTCATATATTCCCGCCATTACAATGTCGTACACTTCTTTGGGTGTGATCTCATCGGTAACCTCCCTCGGGCACGTCGCTCTAATCATCCTGCGTATTACCTGTACCACTATCGTTGTCCATGCCATCGGTGGGGCTCCATAACAGCGAATCCAGTGCTGCATTTCTATCACATGCCCCTCCCCTAGCACCTGTCCTGCCCTCGTATTCCTCGACCATGGGGCCTCTATCACAGGCGATCCCTCTTCTTCCATCCTCAATCTCAATATCCCCCCACTCTCTCCAGTACCCACGCATTCCACTCGATCCAGTTCTGTCCCGTCGGCAACCACTCCCACCGTTCCTGCTCGGACTTGAGGTCGCTCAGGGTCTTGATGTTGCTACCTGTCCCAGCACCACCCTTCCATCTGGGAGCCTGCATAACCGCCCCCTTGGTATCACCTCGTGTTGGCACCGGTGGAGCCGGCGGTCTATCCCCTTGATCACCTATCCCAGCGGTTCCCCTAAGTGCTCCGCCATCTCTGCCATCTCCCGCCTTTTCCCCGGCACTTTTTCTCTTCTCGTCTCTTGCTTGTTTCTCTTGTCGTTGGTTCGCGAGCTCCTGAGCACTCTCGAGCAGCTCCTTCCTCTTCATTCGCCTCCCGGTTTTCTTTCTTCGCCTTCTTTTGTTCTGACCGACTCCTCACGGTGGCGAAACCCTCGTCACTGCCTTCCTTGAACTCCTCAGTCATTGATGCGTCTCCCTCTCGAGCAGATTGGTTCTCCGGTCTATCCTCACCCATAGCATCATCCTCTTCTCCATCCGACTCTGCATCGTCCTCCATCATCTCTGCGTCATCTGCCATCGCCGTCAGCTGCCCGATAGCTTCCATAGCCCTTAGAGCTTGGTATTCGGGGTCCTTCATGTGGAAGCCGGCCGCCGTGTAAATGATCACTTTCATCCGGTGCCAAGAACCCCTATCTCCGGCTGACACACAGTGAGCTTCGGACTTACCACACATCGTCTTCCACACCGACTCATCTATCCTGGCAGCCATCTCCGCATACACCCCTTGTCTATCCGATGTCCTAAGGCTCTCCGTGACTCCCGTGATCTTTGTCTCTGGCACAATCACTTTCGTTTTCAGTGACCGGTCTGCCTTCGCCACTTCTATCCAGCGTCTGAGCCAGACTCCAACCTCTCCAATGCTATCCCTGCTCTCCTCGCCGATCACCTCCCTAATAGCTGAAGTTTCTCTATCATATAACTCCATGTCTCGCGGGGTCGGCCACATCATTCCAAACATCGAGATGAACAGGATCTGCGCCCAGAAGCCGAACGTTCGCCCGGCACCGATGTACAACCTTCCCGCGTCCACCCCTATTCGAGGAAATGCCGTACGCATAACGTTCCAAGGCAGAGTGATGATTCCAGACTTCTTCATCAGTCTATCCATGGCTTCTCCAGCCCTTATCAGCTCCTTGGCCTCCTCCCTGACTCTGTAGTTAGTGGGGAATCCATTCTCTTCGAAATTTCCGGGCCCTACCCAGAGCACATTGGCATTGGCTTTCCTGATCGTCTCCCTCGTCTCCCTCGCCACCTTGGTTTTAGTGTCATCGTCTGTAGCCTCGAACCGTCTCACCTCTTCTATTGCTCGGCGAGCATTCCCTGCTGCCATTCCAGCTGGGGCCAATACCACAATAATGTTCGTCACTTGATTCCCTCCCATGCCCTTCGAGACGCATTCCTTGCACACTTCCTGAACCTTCTTGTACGCACCCTGGTAGGTCATCTCCTGCGTTCCTGTCAGTTTGTGTGTAATGAACGACATACTCTCCGCGGCCTTTCCATAGCCACCATGCGCCTTCAATAGCAATCCTACCCACTCTCGGACTTCCCCTGGTGACGCCGGATTCTTCTTATTCGAGACGCCCTCTATCCCCTCAGGTATGATGATGTGCACGTAGGTCTTCTGATCCGCACTACATCGGAGCTGAAGTGGCGGCTTCATTCCCTCCGCCCACCATGTCACCAGCTCAGCCGCCTTGCGCTCATGGAATGCAGTAGCTATGTCAAACATCCACTCGTAGGTCTCCACCGCGGACTCAAGCTCGCTCGAAAGCGCTGGCTCCATCAATCTCCCTCCAACTCCGCCCATTCCTATACCAATGATAGCCGCCCAGGCCTGAGCCTCGAACGCCCAGCTCTGGTCGACGTCCTCCGGTCTGTTCCACCCATATTTCCTGGGTGCCTTTTCTATTCCCAACACTATGCTCCCCACGTCCGCCATTTCCAAAACTTTGCCCATGTGGTGCGTGGCCTTATTCGCCTCCTCCATGACTTTCTCCTCTATCCCGCTGCTCTCCACACACCGTCTGTAAATGGCTGGCCCCACAAAACTCCTCCACGGCATCTTCACGACGGCGCTATCGTGTCCCGTGGCCATTGGGGCCTCTATCCCCATATACTCCAATAAACGTATCACATTGGCCCATTCACTATCCACCGGGTAGTAATCCTTGTCTCGATCAGGCCCAGACACGCCCCCACCGCTAGGCAACTCCGCTATCCACCCCCTCATGAGCCCTATCAAACCACTTCTTGAGCCAGTTGGCTGTTCGACGACCTTCGTGGCATTTTCGTCACCTTCCCGATGCAGGAACTCACGTTCCATCTTCCAATCCACAGGTCGCTCAGGAAGAGGTCCTCGGGCCGGGCCTATGATTGCGCGCTTTTTCAGGTGATAGCGCCAATACAGCCTCTCAACCCCCTGTGGATGCTTCTCCATCAGCGCCGACATCTCACTCATGAGATGGCTATTCGCTCCTAAACCCGGGTGCTTCGGCCTACAGATAAGTGCTTGCCCGATGATCTTCGTGGCCCTCATAAAGCAGAACAATACCCCGTCTATCTCCACTCTATCCACATCCAGTCGGATCTGCCCGTCAGGCACCGACGATCTCCTTGTCCCCACATCCATCTTGACATTCTTGCCTATCCTTCTGAAGCCAGCCAGTACTCTTACTATCCATCCATTCCCTAACGAATGCCATGTAGAGTATGACGCTGTACCACAGATGCTCCGTCCAAACCAGCATCCCGCAGAGTCGTGCACACTGGGAGCGCCGGTCGTCCACGTGACCAGCGGATGGCTTCGATCTATCCCACCAGATGCTATCATCGACCACAACGCCTCTAGAGACGTTCCGTGGAAAATCCACCCGGGCACATTGAACTCCTCATTCCCGACCGACATCTCCTGATTCAGCTTTTCTGCTCCGGCGTATTCGGCCTTCGTGGGTACCCACATACATCGCGAATCCGTGAAATGTTCCTTCACGTCCTTAACCCCCCCGTCTGCCTGGACCTCCGGAAATGTGGTCACTTCTTCGGCCAGGGACCAGTGCAACAGGTGTAGAACTGACGTCGGTCCCCCTATTTGCCATGACAGTGTATCCAGATACTCCTTCATCTGCCCATTTGCTGCATTCGCCATAACTCCGTATCCTTTTTCTCCCCCCTCGCTTCTCCGGAATTCCTCCATCACGTCTCTTCCTCTCTTCAAGTATTGGCTTTCGTAGGCCCCCATAATCTCGTCTGCCATGCCTATCACCTTGATCTTGGGCTGCGCCTCCGTCCATATCTTCAGCTTCTCCTCGCTCGACTTATGGCTGACCGCTATCCGCTCCGCAACCTGAGACGGTGGAATTGCATACTTTAATGGTCGCACGGCCAACCACGTCATCATGCCTTTGATCGCATCATCGAACGGGCTCTTCTCTGTGTCGTCCATGTGGATCTCCGCCCAATCTAGGGTCTTTCTGCTGATCCCTCCCCAGCTAGCCCTGAACGGGTCCTTACTTCCGTTCGTGACGTCATACACCCCTCCCACAGAGATGGCTATCGGTGCCACACCAGCTATCATCCTCTCATATGATCTCCCCTTCTGGAAGGACTTCTCTGTCTCATCAGTCGCGCCGAGGAATTTAGGGGCCCATGGCGTATCAACATCTCCTCCCGTGCCCGCTGTGGGCATGGCACATCCCGGCACGTCCATCCCTCTGGCCAATCGCACCCCTATCAAGTCGTTCAGCTTCTCCTTCGACATGTTCCCGGCATCAGGACTCGCCTGGGGTGGCGGCTTCGTCGCCCCTCCATGCGACCTTGGCCTATCCCAGTTCGCTATCACCCTCTCCAGATAGTCCGTGGCATCCGTCACAGACGCAGCTATCAGAGGGATCTTCTCCCTTATCCATGCTTCAGGATTCCGTCGTGTACACCGTAGTACCTCCCAGAGATACATAATCTTGTGTACTCGCATTCTATCCACATCGTATCCCACGGCTGAACGCTTACCTCCTTTCTTCGCCGTCTTGGCCTGGGCCTCTTCCGCTCGCACACCAGCTATCCCACTGCTCATCCATTTCTTGAAGTCTGCATCGTCCTTGAATGGGCTGGGGATAGCCCGTCTAGCCCATACCTCCTGCATCTCTAGATTTCCCTCCAACATCCAGTGTATTCTAGCCTGTTCTCTCTCCTTGGCTCCGACTGGCAGATACGAGTACGTCGTCACCCCTGGCACTCCATCCTCCGTCTCGGCCTTGAGGTACCTATCCGCGTCGGAAAACACCTTCTCCAGGAAGTCTATCATGGCCTGTGCTCGATCACATCGTTCCCTTTCTCCTGCATCCCTGGTCTGATGCTCTGGGCGTTGCCATCGTACCCCTACTGTCCTCGAAGACGAAGCTGTCCCAGGATCTTCACTGCTTCCGATATCTCTATCCCGCTCACTCAGCGACACCGATCCGAACATCTCTCCCATGGCTCCACGCTATGCAGGTCGCTAGAGCCCTCTTCGTCCTTATACCGGCATGCAACTCAAGGTCACACAAAATTCGCTCTAGTCAAGACGTCGTTGAAGAGCGTTACAAAGTTCTTTAATATTCACCAAATTGCTATTATCTATCCGAGCCTTTGATTCTTCACTAATGTATATGGTGCATTGTACGTCCTCTCCTTTGTCGTGAAGCTCTCCTATCTTCGTCTTTCCCCGCATTCGAGCCAGTTTTCCACGTGCAGCTAGAATTCTCGCTATTCCCTCGGATATGGCGGCATCACTGCGATTGATCAGAACAATCCCAACGCCCGCAGCAATCACTCTGTCGACCAGTAAAGCTAGGCTATCGGCCGCACTTTGGTCCTTTCTTCCCAGCTTAAGCTCTGCTCCGCGGGCTAGTCGAGACGGCGAGTCAACTCGCTTCGGTGCTATCACAACTATCCCTTCGCACTCACCGACGATCGCCTCATCGACCTCCAGAATTGGCGAGTGTTTGATATCCCACACCATTTCCCAAATTATCCATCTTCCCACTATGGACTTTGCTATCCCAACGCTATCCCTGATTTCATACTCGAGCTGATTTTGGGATACCCCCCGGCACGCGGGCATAGCTAAGATGGTTCCCGTTGATTTCCCGAACTCCTCTTCACCGAAATGTGCGGTAGTGTACATATCCCTTAACCACTCTCGTGCTTCATTGATGGCCTTGGTCATCATGTTGGCAGCCTGATACTCAGTAGGACAGTTGACAAACGTGAACATGATTGCCTCGTAGAACTGGTTCAGCCTAGCTATGTCTATTCGTTGTGTTCTAGACAGGTACCTCATGTTCGGATTCTTGCCCGATACAATCACTCTAACAGCCGCCTCATTGTCCTCTGCCACTATCAAGGGTTCTATACTCTCCTTCATCATCTCCCATAGTGCCAACCCCGGTATTCCTTGTTTCGTGATGCCATCGTGCAGGGCTACTATCTCAGCTTCAGGGGTACTTTTAGAGCACGACGTTTGCTTCTTACAGTAAGCAGCTATAGGAACGAAAGTGTGCGGTCCCTGAAGACACAGATATACCCCCGACGTAGATCTATGGTCGTTCTTGTCGCTGGCAAGATCGGCGTCACAGTATAGCACAAGACGGATGTCTCCTATCCTATCCCCGACCCATCCGTAGAGGCTCGTTGTGGTCGTCTCGTTGATGTATGAGATCAGTCTATGCATTCTCTTGTCACAGAGATGTGTCCAGGTCGTCAGCCTCGACGCCAGAACCTGTACTGGTCGCAGAAGGTCATACCTTCCGACTCTGGCCCCATACAAGATCTTCATGAGCACCGCAGGGGCGTGCTCTTTCAACACTCCCGGCCCCTCATCCGGCAGCTCGTACTTGGCTATCCCCATAATTTCGTTCACCTTGTCGTCTACTGGGTTCTCGTCGAACTCTGGGCGGCTCTCGTCGAGATATGGGGTCTTAGCTTTATCCAGTGGCTTAGGATATGCCGTCGAGCACAACTCTTGATATCTATCCACACACTGCTTCATGAAATCGGTAACATCGTATCGAAGAATCCTGATTTCATCTGGACTATCTTCCTTCGCCTCAGCCTTCCCCACGAAGTTAGGCGGTTCCTTCTTGGGCTCGATGATCTTCGTCCACTCGTGTCTCGGCTCAAACGGCGACCGAAAAGGTATCGTGCTAGCCGTGTGCAAGCATCCCAAGTACCTGCCCATACTTCGTGGCTCTTCGAGCTTGATTCTCTTCGCCAGCTTCTCCCATCCTATCGCTAAGTTCTCTTTGGGCCCCGCAAGCTTGAAGTCGTCGACGTAGATCACCAGCATCAGCTTCAGCTCCTTATGGAAAAACACACTAGGCCAATCTGAGAGGAATTCGAAGCCGACCTCAGTCACAGCCTTTTCGCAGTGCTTTTCCCAGAACCCCCCGGCATCCGGATGCCCGTATAAAGCTAGTCTCAGTGGCACCACGGGGTCGTCTATGCCCTCCCATTCATCTGGCCACCTATCCCTCGGGATCCGTATCCATGTTTTAGGCCCCCCCAACAGCGCCTGCGTGTATGCCGACTCACCGTCCGACATCTCGATGTCGTGTCCTGGCAGCATCCCATAGGCATCCGCCATCTTGCCTGCCTCAAGTGTCGCAGGGCATGATGTGATTTCCTGAAAGATGGCCCACTTTCCCTCCTGGTCTTTGACATGACATCCCTCGAACACAACTCTCCCCTTATACTTCCTAAGAGGATCGTCTTCAGCAAGCTCCCAGTTCTTTTCTACACAAATGTCGAAGATACGACCTACATGAGCTATTTCCCCTCTATCCATTGCCTCCCGCTGAACGTCCTTCCATGAACGCACCTCCTCCATTATCCAGACCACTTGATCCATCAGCTTTTTCCATTCCTTATCAAGCGCGGCCCGAGCCTTGGGGTTGATCGCCCTCTCAGCTTTCGTCACGGGTCTAGCGACAAGTCCGAACACTTCCTCGATGTCTTCCTCTTCGTCCTCTATGATTGTGGCCATCAGTGGCTCAAGTTCTCCTACTGTCTCGTCGATGCTATCACACACTTCATTTTCCGCAACCTCTTCCCAGCTATCCTCTTGATCTGCATCCACCTGTATAGCAGGGACTGCGACTATTCCATCTCCATACTCCTCGTCCTCAGTTTGATAACCCTGCCGGATCAAATTATCAACGGGCGTAGTATGCTTGTTCATGAAGCATGCGAAGCATAGCGTCATCGACGTGAGGATTAAACTAGGTACCTTGGCTTTTCCCTCCAGCAGTCGTCGACATTCTCGGCATCTGTATGCCCTATCCGAGACATGCTTGACGCCGATTCGCCGCCTATCCTCATCTCTATTCCTCCCTGCTCTCAGTCCATGACCCGCACTATCCCTGTCTCTTTCCCTCGCACGGGCCTCTCTTGCCCAGATTGCTTTCTTGCTCTCCCGATGTGCCCTACGATGTCTCACTTCCTTCACGTTCTCAGGCATCATGCACCCGCGCATCCTCGGTCGCAGACATACTCCCTTAGCGAACTCCATTCTCATGATTGGCCCCCCTCTTCCTCCAAACGTAATGGGAAAGCTATTCCTATTCTGTATAGCCACCAGGATTTCTCGCTCAGGTGATACCTCGTATCCTATGACGTCGCACATAGTTTCCGCCACAAGTTGTCCAAGCGCAGACACTCTCACACTTGTGCCAGGATCTTCCGGATATGCTATCCCAGTACGAACCCAGGTGTATCCTATCAACGGAACATGGATGTCGTCCTTTAGTTCGAGGACCAGTGCATTCCTCTCTGCCTCCCACATGACTATGTCGCATTCGCCCTTTTCCATAGTCTCGAGGTTGATGGTTTCAGCGTGCCCGGCCCTGAAGAATGCCTCATCCACAGGTTCCCGTTCCTCTTCCAAGTCCGACAGCGTCCACCCTTCTGAATCAAACACATCACTCTGGTCGTCGAACCCGGAGCTTTCCTCTCTATCTTGGTCGTGGCGTCGATCTGTGTCGCTGCTCTCCCTCTCCCCGGCCAGCACTACTATCCATCCGTTGCAGTTCATGTCTCCCACCTCGAGCTCTTCTCCAGGGTAAGCTACCGCGGCCCCTCCGGTGCTATGTCTGGTGCGGCGACTGTTTGGCTTCATCATCTTAACCTTGCCTATGTCGTCGCCGTCGACCAGGATCACGCGCAGGTCCTGTATGTGTTTCGCCCGGGGTCCGAAGACCTCCCCCATTGCCTCTCGGCCTGGATTATTCATAACTATGCATCTTTTCCATCTGGGCTCCTCACGACTGATGTACGGTGCCCCATCCTCGGCAGCCGCAGCAGCATAGTTCCTTACCAGCGTCTGATCTTCTCGATCCGTAGCATCGTCGACGTGCTCGTCGTCTCCCTCCATGTCTATCACCCAATACGAGTTTCCTCCGTTCATTCTCCTCTTGGCTATCTTCAGCAGCTTCTCTAGTGATCCCCCGGTCTCGTCACCTCTAATCGTTCCCTTTTCCAGCTGTGCCAAGGAGTCCACGTCCAGTGTCACCATACCACTACTATATCCGAGATATTCTCCCTCGTGTTCTTCACATGCCATCGACACCGAATCACCCTCTTCCTCGCCGCAGATGCTTACCACGTCCTCTATCACCTTTATCATTTCGCGTATCGCCTTACGCTCCTGCTCTCGTTGCACGTCCATTTTCGTGTCCGATGTCCTCACCATGTGCGACATTAACTCATGATCCCTTGGCATATGATCGCATGCTAGCATGTCCGCCGCGATCGCGTTCATCATACATGGAGTGATCATTCCTATGTAACACGACGCGTCCACCCCGTCATTCATACCCAGCATGCATCCATCACTCCGTACTATCCACATGTCCCAGGCAAGCGCCATTCGAACAATGGTCTCGTCGGCCAATCGACTTTTGCCGCCTATCCAGATGGTCGTAGCCACTATTCCTCTGCTGTTGGCGTCGGTGATAACCTTTTCTATATTACCAAACACTCTATCTCGAGCCTCTCGCGTACTATCTAGACCTTCCTCACGTCTCCAACCGGATGTCTTTCGATCAACTTCTATACTCATGCCTTCGCTAGACGCATCGATAGCGATGACCACATCCGTCACATCCTCTCCTATCACACATCCTTCCCCCGATATCCAAGACACGTTCTCACCTCCGTTGTCCCCTATTTCTTCTATTCCGACCCCCATGACCTGCACTTTAGGCTGTTCGCCCAACTCCCTCATTATTTCCCCAATGATGTTGTCGGACGGCGTTCGCGCTATTCCAGCTGTGCTGTACAATTGATTGATGGTTTTCGCAACCTCCTCAGTATCTCCCATCCTGGATGCCGGTGCGGCAGGTTCTGCTGGTCCTCCTCTATCCCTGATTCGTCGGTCTTCTCCTCCGTCGGGGATGTACCAGAACTCCGTGATGATGTCCCTGGGCACAACGAATCGGTATCTCCCTCTATTGCGCATCATCTCCGCCTGTATGCATGAGTCATATTCAATGGATTCTAAGACCTCCCCAGTATTGGCGCTCCGAGTGACCCTCCACCAGAGCTCGAGCCGTCTTTTGTCCCTTCCGCCATAGAATCGGTAGGATGTGGCGCGATTGTTTCTTACTGCCCACACTCGGCCACCCTCAGGCATTCCCGATGGAGAATCCCATCGGTATTCCTGCGGTGAGAAGTCCTGTCCATGGTCGGTGATTTTCTCCATCCATTCACGAACTCCAATTTCTGCGGGACGCGGTCCTATTCCCTCTTGCCCTCGAGCGGCAGAGGGAGGCCTCTCTCCTCTGATGATCCTCTCTTTGTCTCCCTCTATATAGCGCAGTCGCTGTCCCGGACTCATCCTATTCCACTCTGCTGACGAAATGGAGTTGGGTTTGTGAGATCTCGCGTACGGCCGTTCTATCCTGGGCATGTCCTGTTCGTAGTCTAAACCCACCCCCCGTATACCCGTCGCCTTCTCTCCCCGCGCCCGCTCCTTGGCTTCATCCTCTATCTCTCCCTCAGGCTCCCCCTTTTCCCAGAACGTAGTGCACCCCGTCCATTTCTTGGTGATCTTCTTCTTGCCCTTCATTCTATCCTCATCCAGTACCTCCGATGTACCATCGGCGTACACTATCCACGTTCGCCTCCTTGGACCCAGCTCTCTATCCCCGGGGCCACCTGTACCTTTGACCTCCTCGCCTGGGGTACACAGCTCCTTTCGGGGTAAGATGTGATGAAGCGTCCACGAATGGTCTATCTCATCATGTTCCCAGAAATCCCCGTTTTGAAGATGCTTATCGTCGCACTTAATTTGTCTCATCACATCGGCTCGTACCCTTCTCTCCTCTGCGAAGATTTCCTCCGTCTCCTCTCCTTGCTGCCCCTCTCTCTCCAGTTCCAATCTGGCCAGGGCATCAGCTCGAGTCGCTGTCATGATTCTCGACTTCCTATCAGCCACAGCTTGCATCGGGAAGTAGTTGGGCATCTCCTCGTCAAGTACTATCCTCTTCACGCGGTGTATCGACGGTACCGTCCATCCGTGATACAGGTGCGCCAGCTCAACCACTATATAGTCTCCGCTCGGAACACCCCCTGGTTGGAGCGCGTAACCTAGGAACAATCCGGGTGATGTCGGAGTGTCGAACTTTGCCTTGGATGCCATGGCATACGCTTGCTCTTCCTCGGCGTCGTGATCTACATATTCTTCCCCATCCCCACCGTTGTCTGCACACGCCGCCTGGCATAAGCCATCCGCTAATGTCGCAAAGTGCTCATCCAATCTGAAGCCCAGCCTCATCAACTTCCACTTGTCTTCCACAGATGCCTTTTTACCCGCTGCCAGGGTATATCCCACCGCTATCACTCTATCCTCCGGCGCCAAGGCATCTTCGGTAGCATGCCAAACTCTTGGATTGAACTTTAGCCCACTATCAACCTTCCGAGTCCTTCCCCATATCCATTTTCCCGGAAGCACCTCTTTCTTTATCCCGGCGGCGTCGCCACTCTCATTCTCACACTGTTCCTCTTCTGTCCAGATCATAGCTTCACCCGCCCTCTCGCTTACCGGCACAACAAAGTTGTACGTCTGGCTCTCGTTAAACTTGTCCTTGTGAGGCCCCATCCTGGTTCCGACAGACACAATCACCGTTGTAAAAGTAGCTTCTGGGAAACATTTTGCTATCAGCTCGCAGCACACCATGGCTATCCCCGGATATTCTTTGGCACTATTCGTAATGCCAACCTTTCCTCCGTACGCATACAGCCCCAGGACTATGAACCCTCTACCGGTGGCCATGCTCCGCGAATTCTTTGCTATTCCTTTCTCTATCGAAGTGAACTTCAGGATGATGTCCTTTGCATGCTGCACATCAAAGTCCTGCGTCATGACCATATCGAGCGCACGTCTATCGATCTCTCTCAGCTCTTCCTCCCTTTGCGAGCGTTGTTCTTTGGTTTCCTTCGTTTCAGAGGGCAAGGCCATGCTCGAAACATCTTCATCAGCTCCGAGAATCTCAAGAGCGTCATTTTCAGGATCCCCCCGTTCGAGCAGGGCCGCGTCCTCTTTGCCAGCTTTTCTAGGCTTTTCGGCAATGGGGAGGTAGTTAACAAGTGCCCCGAAAGGAATCAGTTTCACTTTGTCTTGCTCGTTGCCATGTCTTTTCCCGTACGGGCTTACCCCGTCCACTTGTTGTACGTTCCTATGGAAGCAGAACGTCTGCACAGCGTACGGCCACCACTTCGGTTCTAGTCCTGCTTGTCTCAGCAATACTCTGCCACCGTAGATTACTTCTTTGACCTTGAGCTCCGCTATGCTATTCGTTCGGGGTAATCCGGGTGTAGAAGTCGCCCTGCAAGTTCCTATGACGTCGCAGGCTTTTGAGAATTCACCGGCTCCGTCTGCGTATAAATGCACTACCATATCTGGGCCTCGGAACTCATTGATAGCTCGCACAAACTCATCCGTTCCCCTGGACTTTACGGGCGTGCAGTGTATCCATTGTGTCTTGAAGTCGAACATCACGATTGCATTATTTTCTCCGCGGATTCCCTTGTCTTTGTGGCTGCGAAGAACTATCGTGTCAGCAGTGACCCTCTCCCCGAACTTCTCGGCACCCTTGTCGGTGATGCCTTCGCCCCTGTTGAAGGGAACGTTTATTGCTTTGCCTTGTCGACAGGCAACGCAGTGCATGTTCTTTGGGAGATGCGTGAGCAAATGTTCCGCCGATTTTGCATACTCCGGTGAGTATCTTGCTCTCCGAATGCTCACAGCTTTGCTCGACCCTATCCCTTCGCCAAGTCTATCCGCAACTCGAACTTGATCTGCAGGTCCGACTTCTGCCTCTGTTTGTTCCACCTCTCCCATGCCACCGGCGCTATCATCCTTCTGAGGCTCTCCCACTCCTCTTCTGGCCTGTTCTTCGTCGGCTATTCCGGGCAAATCTATATCAACATCCAATTCGCCTTCGTTTTCGGTGCCTTCTTCTTCGCCGGGTACAGCGACGACTTGCTCCGCGATCCTTAGGTCATCATCCGTATTCTTCTTCATTCCGCGGACGAGCTGAAACTCCGCATCCGTCATATTGCGTGCGCTTTGTCCCGCGTCAATCTGCTCAGGACTTAAAGCTCTTTCACAAAACCCGCATACCCCGGATGAATCAGCCTTACACGCGGCGCAGTAGAACGTCGTTCTCAGTCGACCATCACTATCATCTTGTTCTATCGTTGTCTCCCTATCCCTCTCGTCTATCCCCTTTTCGGCCACTGATGATACTCGGTGGTGCTTACGCATAGTCTCCTTAATGGCTCGCACTAATCCCGGTGCCCACTCCGCCCAATTCTGCGATTCGCTCATCTCGCCCTTGCTTCTATCACTGCTATCATTCGTCGCTCCAGTCCCTGGTCCTCTAAGATTGACCGCCCATCCTATCAACTCTGCGTCAGTCGCTATCGTTGTCGGCTTTTTCCTAGAGTGTCCCATCGGTCCCTGATCAAAACTGAACAGCTTCGTTCCTAGGATGGCACTCGTCCTATCCCATTCTTCTGTCGCCCACAATGATGCGTATCCCCCTTCTGGCGTATCATCCCAATACGTCTCGGGATCCTGGGGCTGCTCAATGAGACACATCGTTGGGGCTCTCAATCGTCGGTGACGTGCCTTTCCTATCACCACAAGCATGCACACGCGCAGTATGATGATATCGTCGTCCCGGCATTCCTGCTTCTGTGCCCAACTGATAAATGAGTATCCCCACCTCTCCGGTCCGTTCCTCGACCTAAGCGGAATTGGACCAGGCCTTCTGTATCTCATCACTGACCTCGTTCTGCAAGGCGGTCCGGCTAGCCAGCAAAAAACCAAATTGGTCGTGGCCAGCTTCACTAGCCACCACCATGTATCAGATCGCAGCACGTTCTCCTCCATATCGATATCTATCACGCTCATTCCCAGTTCGCTTGCGATGTCATCAAACTTTCCCCTTGACTTTCCACAACAAATGTGCACAATAACCCTTCTGCTCCCTTCAATCGCTTTCCTTATCTCCATGATTTCAGGTCTCGTTTCCCCCTGGGGCTTATGTGCCTTTCCGCCGTCAAGTACCTCTTGAGGAGCAAGTGGCCATAAACACCTTGCTATCTCGACTAGCGTCTCTGCCTCCCCACCGGTACCGATATTCTTGTCCAGCATCATCGTCAGGTCATCTAGCCCCGCGTCTTCATCCGCAGCCATTCTATTCAAGATATGTTTTCTCACCTTCGCGCTATCGCTCTGCACCGCTTCTCCTGCATCCGCTCCTTCGAATGTGAGCCCTTCTATCTTGAACATGGTCTTGCCTGTCCATAAGTCCTCTTCCGCGTCTCTATTCTCTCCCTCATTGTACTTGTCCACCCAGTCTATCCATTCCGCCACGGTTTTGCCATCTTTGTACACACGTTTGGATCTACATCTCTCGGCGAATCGCGGCACAAGTGCATGTATCTCTGGGAATTTCAGTGTTTCAAACCATGGATCGCAAGTCTTCGTTCTTGGTTTGTTATGGAAACACACCGCTTTATTACCCGTTAACATCCACTTGTCTAGTAGCCTCCCGTCGTCGTTGGTGGCCTTTCCTATCGGTTCCTCCTCAGTGTCCCTATCCGTGTCCGAGTCCACGCTTTTGGGGCTACATTCATCCTGTTTCTCTTCAAGTCTCCTCGGACTGGAATTTCCTCGCACGGGCAGTTCAATCGCAAGAGGCGCTGGCATAGCAGGATAGATGTGATAGTCATTACGCTCACTTTCGTTAACAACCGTTGACATTCTATCCACCATGTATGGGATATCCCCGATGACTTTTAGCACTATCAAGCTCGAATCAGGCTTGACGAACACGGGGTTTGCACCCGCCAGCCAATGAAATGAATATCCCATTTTCATACATCTCCTCCCCATTGATAGAACAGCGGGAGTACTCTCGAGCATTCTAATCCTCATCGTCTCAGGCATCCCCTGTATATCCATGCATATCTCTTGCTTTGACGTGGTGTTGCCGTTGGCAGTGTTGAACCTCACCTTCTTCGCCTCAATGGCCATATCTTTTTCATCCTGGGTGAGGTCTGCTTCTGCTATTAGATCCATAGCGCACCCCGAGTCTATCATCCATCGTCTCATTACCGGGGGCAAGCAATGTTGTGCAGATGCCGCCGGTTGACTAACCTCTCGACTATCCACGCGGAATCTCTCGTCGACTATACCTATTCTCCTGCATTCCTCCACTATCCTATCAGCCAGTCTTGATGCATCCCTACCTTCCTCGCCTTGCTCCCCGGCAAGTATGTCCAGCACGACCTCTTCGGCTAGGGATATTCCTCGTAGCCTTGCCTTTGCCTCTTCAATCACGGGATATCGTTTCACATCATGTACATACCCCTTCTTGTGTACATTTTTGCATTTTCGTACCATCTTATCAGCTGTGTGTCCTTTCCAATAGCATATATCCAGTCCTGCTATCCCCGTCTCTTCGGAGCCCAACCCCTTGACTCGCCTATTACCCTTCTTCACTCGCTCCCTGCCTGTCGTTGTCACCAGTATTCCCTTATGCGTGCCTTCGGCGCCATCATCCCCTTGTCGTACCACAGGCATGGCCACATATACCTGGCTATCCTCGCTGGCCTGTGGGTTTCGGCCCGCCCCTAGCGAAAACTTGGCCCTTCACCATCAGCATGTGGGCTCGACGGCCTCGTCTCCTTCTGCTCTATCTCTACCGTTTCAAAAGCCTCCCTAATGCTATTCGGGATGGCCTCATGGAGCATTTTACACTTATCGTTTCTGCAGCTGCCGTACCGAAAATGCTCAAAGCAGTATCCCGCCTTCTTGAGGACCTCTTCCGCCTGACTATACAGATAAATATCGTGCGAATGCTTGCAGTCCGCCGCAGTCATCGGGCAAGTTCCACGCGTATAGGGGTAGCAGACCCCTCTTTTTCCAAACGGCGACTTGGATCCATATCTATTCTTCGGGTCATCGGCTCTCCCCGCCTGCGAAAGTCCGTCCCTGCCTCTTCCCACAGATATCCCTCTTCCGTAGCTATTTCCCCCTGCGGGCGATGAACTCCTCGGTCTATCATCGGCGTATGCGCTTCCTCTATTCACCGGTGCTCTATATGATCCCTGCTGAGCCGGCATCGCAGCGTACCCACTCGTGAATGCCTGTCGACTCACCCGCATTGATGCTTCGTCAATGTTCTTGTCCGCTCTCCACATCTCCAGTCTATCCTTGATTCTCTTTCGCAACCAGGTATGAGTCTTGGCCTCGTCAGGAAGCAGTCTCCATGCCTCAATATCGTGGTTCAGCACCTGAACTCTCTGCACTTTCGAATGCAACATCCATCCCAGCTGTTGCTCGCTCCAGGTATTGCCTTTCAGTCCTATAAGGTTCGTGTGCGCTAGATCCCATCTAGTCATGAACTCCTCCAGTGCCTCCTCTTCGGGCTTCCCCGGGAAACTCATCACCTTCGTGCTACTCAGGCCATCGTACAGCACCTGACTCTCTTTTGCAATCGGGATCTCAACATGCTTTACTATCAGCGTAAGCAATCTCATGGCCGTCATCGGCTTTCCATCCCCCACTTGCTGAGTCTTGTACATCTCCATCTTCACCTTCGCCGACAATGACTCTGACTTTATTGCTCTCTTTAATCCGCTAAAAAGCTGGTTCTCCAACGCAGGATACTTGAGTTCCATGTCTATCATCGCTTCGCTCCTTTCGCGTACCCTCAATACCTGCGTGTATGCATAGTCCCCGTCATACAGATACGCAGCCTTCGCAGTGTGTGCAACATCGCCCAGCCACAGTCCTACTTCCCCGGATGATGGCTCCTTCGCTATCGATATCTCGTTGCATTTCTCCATCCCTCTGGTGTCCTTGAACTTGTTATACCCTCCGCCTACCGGATTTCTAAACCTGGCATCATCCCCCTCATGATCTCGTCCGCTCTGCGGCCTCGGAAGTCCTGTCCCTGCATACCCTCCGGCATCGCATCCCCTTCTATCAGTGGAACACAGCATGCACACGTCATCATGGTACTCATAACAATTACCACACACTTCTCTTCCGCAGCCATGGCATGCAATCATCATTTCTGCTTGTCTAACACATACAGGGCACCTTCTAATTCTAGTCTCTTCCCCCAACAGACCTCCATCTCCTTGTCTATCCTTTCTTCCATGCTCTCTTCTATCCCCAAACGAACTTGGCGCAGGCGTGGCACCGGCACTTGGTCTTGCGGAGCCAGCGTTCGAAGCACCTCCCGCAGCCGGCGCCGGCATAGCGTACTCAGAGCTCTGCTTGGCGATCTCACCGATTCTATTCCACATGCTATCCAGCTCTGCTTTAATGCTATCGTTTCGTTTCACCTGCTCCAGTCTCCGCTCATACTCTCGTACCGTTGCCTCCAACTGCTCGTTCTTCTCTTTGAGTTCAATCATTTCTCTACTACGAAGATCGAGATCCGCTCTCATTTTAGATACCTCATCTCTATTATCCCGGATCATGCGCGCTACCGATTCTGTCACTCCTTTGTTCTCCCCCTTCATGCTTTCTATCTCACTGGTCAGGCTAGCGTTCTCCCTCACGATCCGCTCATTCACAGTGGTCAACCCCTGCAATTGACTAGTGATCTTGGTCACCTGCTGTTCTAACACAATGCATCTACTCTCAATCCTTCGATCTATCACAGGACCTGCCAACTCCGGCCTCGAAGCCTCTATCCCTCGGGCGTTGTCGCTCCTGGCTCTTCCGTCGGCTCCCCCACTCCCACCGTGACTATCTCGTCCGCGTGATATGGTCGGTGGCTTTCCTATCTCTGCGCTGTTTCCTCGCATCTTGCCTACCCCTTCGTTCCGTGCGCTCTCATCAATTCGAGCATTGACAAGGATAAATTCGCCCGTGACTCTCTTCTGCTCATCTATCATACGGCTCGACATTGATTCCATTGTCTTTTCCATCTTTCGCACGGTATCCTTTACCCAGGCCTGTTCTCCGTTTCTCTTCTCATCCATCCGATCGGTCCTTGCAGCGACATTCTCGCAATTCTTGTGAACCTTTGTCATGTTCGCCACAATCTCAGCCACGCTTTTGCGGTTCTTTATCACCTCTCTCGCGACGGTCATTATGTGTTCCTTCTGTGCCAGAACCACTTCACTCAGCTTCTTGGTTTCGCCCCGCACTGCCCCATCTATGCACGTGCCGTGACCCTCGCCAGGTTCTCTGCATCCGCATCCAGAACCTTTTCCTTGGCTGTTGCAATGTGACGACGATGCCGTATCTGTTCCGGCTTTCTGGCTCCCCTTGGACTTCAGCTTCCTTAGTTCCTCGCCCGCTATCTTGATCTGGTCCCACTGTCTATTCAAAACCGTCTCTACTTTATCCAGTCTCTCGTTCTTCCATGTTCCATTCTCGTGTCGCATTTGCATACTCGAGAAGACTACGCCTATGCCACGTCTCACCTCATTCAATCCTGTTTCTAACGTGGTGATCTTCGTCCCGGTACTCTGTTTGGCTATGTCTGCTGAATGCTCCGCTGTGGACAATCGCTCCTCCACTCCCTTCAATCTAGTCGTAACAGATGTCTTGAGCACCTTCACGTTTTCGACCTGCCGTCTCATTCTCCGTGCGAGCTGCATTGCTCCCTCGGTCAGTTGCGGAGCCATTGCATCATCCATCCTATCCTCGCTGACGCTCCCGTCCATGATCCGACTCATCTCTTTCAGCTCCTGCGACAGTGTTGTCTTGGTATCTATCTGCTGCGATTCTATCCAACCTTTCCAGTGCTTCACCTCCTCTTCGCATTCCACCAATCTCTTGCTCACGACGTCCGCCTTTTCCGCTGAGCTATTAGCAATTGCACTTGCACATTCGCTTGCCACCTTAAGCTTGGCTACGTCGGTCTGCGTGTCCACAACCACCGTCTGCAAGTCATCTATCCTGCCATCTATCTCTCCCAACGACGATTTGTCCGGATCAGCAGGAGCTCTCATCTTTGCCCGCCTGGGTGGGGATGATGTTGCCCTCATCTCGTCGTTCCTGCCTCGTCCTTCAGGTGGAGTATCGATCCCGAAATGCTCGTACTGCCCACCTATCCCAGGAGATCGTGGAGCCGGGGATCGATTGCCCCATCCTTCGCTACCCTGATCCGGGGTGATCATTCCTGCCTGATGGATCGGTCCCCCAATTTCTGTCGACTTCGACTTCTTCGCTGCGGGGACGCTCTCGGCTATCTGGTTCATCTCCTTAACGGCCTGCTCCACTCGTTGCTTACGCAGTCCCTCATCCATCTTGCCTATCTTGCTGGTGGTACCAACTCCATTTTCCGATCCACCCGGGCTATCCCTCTTCAATGATGTAGATCGACCACCTGAGTGCCCACTATCCGACCCCATCGACATCTTTCGTGACCTGTCTTTCTCTACCCCTGCGATCTCGGCACCATATATCCCAGCATTCCACCGTTCCTGCGAATCCGATTGCATCGTCATGGGCGTTGATCCAGACTCTCCTGGCCCCTGATCTGTGAAGAACTTCGCAAAGTCCATGTCAGTGATGACCCCCGTTTCCTCGAGCGTACTCCGGATTCCATGGGATCCCCACTCTATTCCGATCGTCGTAGTCTGACCCATCCTCACATCCTTCAACGCTTCGACGTTCCCGCCTGGCGATGCCTCCGAGAGACCTGTAGATGAAAATACAGACAGTGCTCTATCATCGCTCCCACTGACCACGTTCTGCGCTACCGCTGACGATCCCTTAGCTATCAACTCCAGGTCCGTAGGATCGGCACCGACATTCCCAATCATGGTCGCACTATTCGAATACACTCCTGGAACGAGATCATCTCCATTCCCTCTGCTCATCCAATGTCCGCTATCCGCACTTCTCGTTCGATCGCCCTCCGCACCGAGCTCGCCACTGAGCATCATCGCATCTATTCCATCATCATTCCTCCTGATCGTCCTATCATGATCTGACGATGATGACACTGCAAGACTATCCACTCTGTCCTCGATCGCCATTTCTAACCCGGAACCAGTGATTCCCTTGGCACCTCCCGTTGACTCGTAATTCGTCCCGTGGGACACAGGCTCGGAGGGGATGACGAACGGTCCCTCTTCCATCCTTTCATCTATTCCAGCCAGATCCTCGATAGCAAGCGTCGGAGTCCTAGCGTTTCCCGCTTCTATCTCACCTCTTCCGGCCCTATACTCATTTAAATCTGTAGCTCCCATAACTGGATCAAACACTACAGGACGGCTTGCAAGCATGCTGAGCTGCATTACGGCATCCCCTCTATCTGCTATCGACGGGATTGCGAGCAACTCCTGCAATCCTTCGTCTGCGTCCCTCCCCTGAGTGCCCGACGTGTCCGCTATTCCGGCATAGCCCAGTCCTCCCGACCTCCCCACACTATCCATCGCCGCCACGATCTCCAAGTTTCTATCCGTCAGTCCTGGGGGTGGTCCTGACACTAATATATTATTCGCAGCACTCGACCTGATGTCTACAGTAAGCGGTCCTGAGAAACTGAGGCCGAGGCGATCTCTATTATCACTGCTATCCATCTCCATTCCCGTCCTTCCACTATTCCGTCCGTCGTCGATGAAGTTCACGTTCTCGGCGTCGGCTATGCTTCTCACATGACTATCGGTAGCCGCCACGTCCTGATTGACCGCAGTGACCTGGTCCTCGAGAAATCTATTCCCTACTCCCAACACATCACTATCGCTAGACTCACTGCTCCCAATGCTATCACGTGTGGACATTGCTGCAGTCAACGAACACAAGTGACAAATGCGGAAAACTTCGCTATGCAAGTGGTACCTCTTCGCTATACCAAGAAAACTTCTCGAACAGCTCGTCCAGGCCAAGCAACAAGGCTCTTAACCTGTGCGAAGTGTCCAAACCAATGAAAACTTGCGCAACCCGTTCCAGTAACTAGCTCAGGCCACACGAGGAGAAAGAAGTTGTATATTTACAGTTGTAGGTTGTAATGTTGCACCAGAAGTAACAGTATCCCTGTCAACGGGGAACTCAAGGTAGCTAGCCAATCGTTCCGAGCCACTCCCGACGTTAACTATCGGAAGGATCCCCAGAGTTGCTATCTCCAGGGGGTGGTAACCTATCGCTCTAGATGTATCCACTAGCCGTCCGGCTGCGTGTTGTACACCTATCCCGATATTCACCTGAACAGCCACCTGCCCTCAGTATCCTCCGGCCTCCGGCTATGAGTTGTAAAGAGAACAGATAACTATCCCGAGGTTAGGGAAAAGGATCTATTCCTCGTCAACGCCCGACCCTTTTGGCTCCTCTTTCCTCCGGATGCGAGTTGGCCAATCAGGTCCACGACGTACAGGAACACTATCCACGGGGGCGAAAACTGTACAATACAGGCTGCTACAGTACTAAGAAGGGCCCTTCTTGAGCAGCTTACAGCTGCGATCGAACATGGGATCATCATTCTATCCACGCTCGGCCACGATGAAGTCGGCAAACTATCCATGATCCACATTCGAGAAGGGGTCCAAACCCGAAATACATGTACACGTCAAATCACCATCCCGTGGAATCAACCTGACCTCTTTGTGCTAAACACCTCTAATTGAAGGGGTTGCATCGGCTGATCCTTTCACAAAGTCAGCTGCCAAGCACATGCAACAAGGAAGATCAGACGACTCAAAGGGGGAAGGCTCCATTCTTACGACGCTGGCTGATGTTGTGAGATTGCCGGCACGCTCTGGAACTGCCCCCAGGCGTAGCGCGGAAGGCGGCTGTGGCAAAGCATCCGAGTTGTGCAGCAAGGAAACCGTGGGCCCGAAAAGAGAGCAGAAAAGCTGTAAACGGGGGGGGGGGTAAGTTGAAGGAAATATTACCAGCTGGACAGAAGCGGACAGAGGTGCACGCCAAGGCAACTTATGCAAAAAGGGCTTCAAAGAGCCAGGGCCCGGCGTTAGATGTAGGTGGCGCCGAGTCTAAACGAAAAGTTAAACCCAAGCACCCCGGCGCCCCTTCTGGCGTGCCTAAACCCTAAACCCTAAACCCGAAACCCTAAACGCTAAACCCGAAACCCGAAACCCTAAACCCTAAACCCTGTAGGCCCCGGACACCAGAGGCTGTGGTCCTGCAGCTTGAACTCCACACAGTGGCGGGGCTCGGCCCTGATGGGGCAGGTGAACTTTGCACAAAACTACTGTTTGCGCAGACCTTGCTCGAGCTCAATAGCGATAGGAATGACATCGATGCGATACGACTTGGCATTCACGGCTGTCGTGCTTATGATGTTTCCACCCGAAGCCACACATGCACACCCTGAGCTCAAGATAGAAAGCACCTCTCGATTCTACTGACAACTCTAACGCTGGCTTAACCCATGGCAATCCCGGAACACTCCAGATCTCCCATATGCCTGAAGAAATCAACCCAGGTTCCAGCTCGCAAGGCTCAGGGCTTCTCGGGGCAAAGCCACCCCAAACAGAGCGTATTCTCACGCTAGACCATTTTCTTACAACCAAGGAAAAAAAAGGTTAAACTTTATGATTCCTACTAAATAAGGGACCCAAAAAAGTTTCAAGTTCAGCTGTTGGAGAAGTAAGTTTTCTACTCGAGCCGGTAGCGACGTAGCGAAGCCAGGGAGCCGGAACCAGAGGTGACCTCGATCGACGTCCAGGTCAACCCACTCCCGACTGCATTGGCCGAGAACGTAACCTGAAGGACCCCCTGGGCCCTAAACCCTAAACCCTAAACCCTAAACCCTATACCCTAAACCCTAAACCCTACATTGTTTAGGGTTTAGGGCTTAGGGTTTTAGGACGATACCGCAGAATCTGTTCGGGACAAAGGGCCTGGACACCGAAAAAAAAACCTTCTGGCCCCACATGCTGGGATGTTCCCCCCTATACTAACAGTCCCTCATGGGGATCATAGTACCCCCTATTGTTATTCCGATTACGGAGCTGTTAGTATGAGGGGGACCAACCCAACCCGCATGCCTTAATGCCGATCTGTGGGCTCAAGTGCTCGGACTATGCTTTGGTTCTGCATTTGGCTCGAGGATGCGGGGCTGGGCTGCTGATTGGCTACCAGCCTTGGGTATCCCTTGGGATGTTCCCCCTTATACTAACAGTCCTCAATAGGGATTCTAGGAGCCCCTATCACCATCCCAATTAAGGACTGTTAGTATAAGGGGGAACATCCCAAAGTATCCCCTTCAACCAACACAGCAGGACTCCACGTGAAGTCCAAGCCCCGCACCCCAACTCAAACTGGAAAGCCACACCGCCAATCCCTAAACCATTTTATGTAGCAGCTCTGGCGTCAAGGGCTACAACAGTGAGGACGTCCTGCGTGAAGGCTGGAGAACTTCTTGGCTAAACTGCAGTTCCCCCCCCCTCCAAAAAACAAACGAGTGTCCTGTAAACCTCGAGACTCAAGACTCTAAAGCCTCAAGCCATCAGTTCCGAGACGCTCCAGCCTAAGGCCCCTTGACCCCAACACCGCCCAGGCTTGTGAGTTTGGGGCCTTCCTGAAACCCTAAACCCTAAACCCCAAACCCTGAACCCTAAACCCTCAACCCTAAAACCCAAACCCTGAACAGTGAACAGGGGGTATTAATTCAGAAGACGGGGTCAATGGTACCCCACAGCATGGAATTTAACTTGAAACCCTGAACTGAAACCCAAGTGCCGGAATCCGTGCAGGCGGAGATTCGGATTTGGTGGGCGACGCCGTACCGAGAATCGTGCTCTGCCTTACCAGTGCACTTGCTTGGGTTGGGATACGATGACCTCAACTGAAGTCTCCCAACCCAACAATCATGGACACCATTCAAAGCATTTTCCAATGCTGTTCCGAATATGGAGCACCTGTGGGCCGTCCAAGACCGCAAAACCCTAAAGCCTGAAGCCAAGAACCCCCCCAATTCATCCTTGCAAGAAAGCCCCGGCTGTCGATTCCCAAAACTATGGATGTCCGCGCAGGCTTACTGGCTTTCTTCTGTGGATCTTTGTGGCTTTTGCAAGCTTTTGCAGCCTAAGGGCCAAACGCTATCAAAAGCAAAGCAAAACGACATCCGACGACCGCAATGTCTTTCGTGTATTACGGGCATCCCCCGGAAAAGGCTCCAACTTTCCAGAGACCGCATCCGTGCTTAATAACTGACCCCAAGTGGCACGGCATGTGGCTGTCACCATCGCCAGGTATGAGATCCTTGACATTCAAGGGTGACACTTCAAACCATTTAACCCTGAACCCTAAGCCCTAAACCCTAAACCCTTAACCCTTAAACCCTAAACCCTAGACCCGGCTTTTAAAGGACGCAGTACTCCGTCCCTCGCCCCGGGGCATGACTCAGACGCTTCCCGTTTCGGTACACACATTTCGCATGGGGTGAGGAGTTGTGCTGGCGACTATTGGTGTACACCCGTGTGCGCTTCACGCAAACTGCGTGTTCGTTGCATGAGCTTGACGGTTTGTTTTAGTGTTCACAGGCGTTTCAAGTTTGACGCGGTCATCTCGATTATTTGTTCTTGCGTGCAGGGGGAGGCAGTCCAATGAAGAGGCTGCTATGAATCATTGATATGGTGCCACCAACAAGCGCAAGTCATTCCAATGCTCTGAACGTCGGGGTCTTGGCGTTTCTGAGAAACCTGTGCGTGGTTTGGTGTTGGCTTGAAGAACCACGTGTCGAATGCTGAAGCTGAGAAGGTTCTGCTCGCACGTGTCAAGTTTGTCGAACCGAAGTGGGTTCTTAGGGCTTCAGGTGCGGGTCCCGTTTTTGGCTGTGTGGACGAAGGACCGACTTGCCTCCTTTGAGGTACTCTTCATCAGCAGATCGATAGACATCCGACTCGGGTTTAGGGTTTAGGGTTTAGGGTTTAGGGTTTAGGGTTTAGGGTTTAGGGTTTAGGGTTTAGGGTTTAGGGTTTAGGGTTTAGGGTTTAGGGTACGGGGGGCAACCGAAGGAGGACAGGGAACAAAACAGTCAACCCCAACAGAAGCCCTTAATACCCCTGGAACAACCAACAACCGAACAGCAAGACCCCAAACCAAGGGCACACTTTTTACGAAACCTTCGACCGCTTTGGTCATGGCTTGAGCCAACGATTATCGGGTTCATTGACCCTTTAACTTCCAATACCAACTCCTTTCTACAATACCAATTGCAGCTCCGCACTCCCCCTGTCCTAGGATTTCCTAGGACACATTGGAGGTGCAAATCTTTGGCCAAAAACCGCCATTTAGGCAGCAGCCAGCTGCTTGAAATGCACATTATGGTTTAACGTCATCCAGGACGAACCTTCAGCTCATTGGCTGAATCCTTTACCATTGAGGATTTCTTCACCTCGTATTTGGAAAATTCACGTTCCAGCGGCCCGTTCCTCACCAAGGAACTCAGCATTCACCACCCAGCCATCCTTGAGGCAATGCTTACAAAGCGTCTTAGCCCTGGGCTGTGAATATCGCAGAACATCACAGTCACTGCTTGCGTGCATACAGTTCCCACCCACTGTTGTACACAAAGTGGCACTCGCAGGAATAACCACCGCTTTCTTGATCCACAGCCATTTATACAGCCGTCGAAAGAGGCACCATGCCAGTTCCCAGAGTATAATTGCTGCCACCAAATATGCAACAAGGTCTGAATTGTTGACAACCACCTTGAGCCAGAACCATCACCGTAGACGTGTTGGCGACCTTGCACACCCCTTCTTCTGCGCAAAAGAATCCAGCCGTGGACACTTCTTCGCCACCAATTGCCATCCCTTGC